CATTGTCCAGCTGATGGCACCTGGAGAAGGCCCATCCTGTGCGATCTTATCGGTCTTAGAATTGTGCCCAACTCTCGGCGATTCCGTGGGCCAGCTCTCTCCACATCTCCCAATCTTGAACTACTACTTTGAATTGTTCTATTGCAGGGGTGTCAAACTCTATTTCATTGAGGGCCACATCAGGGTTGTGTTTGACCTGTGAGGGAGCGTGGCCAGCTCGACATCACTCGTGTCGGGGGGGGGGGCGCTATGGTGGCCCAAGCACTCTTTATCAGCCAAAACTCACTCCCCTAGCTTCGTTTTTGGTTGCAGCAGCCTCCTGCAACCCTCTGCCAGCGAAAATGGAGCTCGGGAGGGCCACGGGCTGATCCTTCACTGTTTCCAGGTCAATGCCACGGGCCAGATCTAAGCACCCCGCGGGCCAGATTTGGCCCCCGGGTTTTGGGTTTGATACCCCTGTTCTGTTGAATCTGTTTTCTGTGCCAAGGGTCAGCTTGGATGGTGTCCAGCCACTGTGTTCCCTGCTTTCCTTTTTTCTCTTCCGAATGTAATTGCTTTCTCCAGTGAATTCCCCTACATGACACTGCTAAAATAAGTGAGGCCCAGTTTTGTGATTTTGCATTTCAATGATACGTCTGGTGTTACGTGTTCCAGTCCTTGTTGGTCATCTTTGCTGTCCCAAGTAATACGCAGGAGCCTTTTCCAGACAACACAACTCAAATGAGTCGTGTTTTCCTTCCTGTTTTTCTAAGGTCCAACAAAACCCTTTTGGCACTTGGGTACTTTAAAGAATGAAAACGTAGAACTAAATTGAGGGGGAAAGTCCGTTAGACTTGAGGGTAAGACTAATAGTCATTTCGGTGGGTTACAGTATCCCTGTGATCTGTTTCCTTGAGATCATCAATGATCCATTCTGATCGCTTCCCCTCGGTGGTGGTGTTTGGTTCTTCCTTTAGAAAGTGAAGATTGGCAGGATTTATTAAATCCATTTCTACAGCTGCCCATCTCAGTCAATGACTCTGGGCATCTTATAGTTTAAAAATACCTTACAATTCAAGCATCAAAGCATGTTAAAACAATTCAAAATTCCATCTTTTAAACCCTGATAATCTTTTTAATGAAAGCATAATAAAGGGAGTTAGCTCGGCTTTAGGGCCGCTGGCTAATCGAGTTTTTGACAAGGGGCTTAGGAGGCAGAGCACAGTAAGCGAAAGAGACCTAATCAGGTGGCTTCACCGCAAGAGTCCCACTCCTCACCTTGACTGTTGCCACCCCTGGTGTGACTGGTGCTCCTGGGCTCATTTCCTGCCTACGTTCTTGTTCCAGGTCAGAAAGAGCAACCAGCCAAAGAGAAGCCGCTGAAGATCGACCTGATCTTACAGCCGGATTCCAAGGTCCCCCCTCCCAAAGAGTGAGTTTTGTCTCCGCCTTTCATTGTGAGATGGCTGTGGGGAAGCCGGCATCTTCCTTCCTTCTCAGGGTCTCATTTCTGTCCCTATTTTGGGGGGGTGGGGGCAAGGATGTTTTTGAACCACACCGACCTAAAACCTTCCTCCTCAGCATCCTTTCGCATCAGGTCCCCAATGGCCGGAAGTTGAAACGGAAAGAGCGGCTCTGGGAGAAGCTGGCGGAAAAAGGGGTGGTGCCCCGAAAAGAACGGCTCCTTCAGCAGAGGTTGCGCAACCCCCCCAAACCCAAGACAGCCGGAGAAGACAGCGGGACCGATCCCTCGAGGGCCTTCTATGACATTTGGGCAGATTCCAGTAAGCCTTTGTTTATTCAACTGGGAGCCACGGGCCAAAGAATAGTTCCAAGTCGGTTGGAATCGGGAGTGAAATGAAAAAAGTTTCTGACTGGCCCAAAGTCACCCAGCTGACCTCCCTGCCTGAGGCGGGACTAGAACTCCCAGACTCCCTGTGATTGGCCCAAAGTCACCCAGCAGGTTTTCCTTCCTAAGACAGGACTAGAACTCCCAGACTCCCTGTGATTGGCCCAAAGTCACCCAGCAGGCTTTCCTGCCTAAGGCAGGACTAGAACTCCCAACCTCCCTGTGATTGGCCCAAAGTCACCCAGCAGGCTTTCCTTCCCAAGGCAGGACTGGAACTCCCAGTCTCCTGGTGATTGGCCCAAAGTCAACTTCCATGCCTAAGGCAGGACT